ATAACTTAATTTTAAAAAGTTATCCAATAAAGAACAGCATAAAATAAATAAAATCTGAAAACATAATTCACCAAAAACTATACACAGAATGGTATGTGAGCACAAGAAAAGACGTTGAACATCAACAGATACTTGGGAGATGGAAATTAAAACAAGGAACTATCATTATATAATCCACTAGAATGACTAAGTTATAAAATGAAAAGTTTTGTCAATATGGAACAAAACAAATTCTTATAGATTGTTAAAATGGGAACTAGTTCAGCCAATTTGAAAAGCAGTGGGGAGGTTATTTTTAAAGCTAAACAAGCATTTATGATACGACCCACAATCCCACTCCTAGGATCCAACACCAAATACAAAACATCTGCATACAAAGGCTCCATTCACATGTTATAGCACTTTTAGTACAAATACAAAGTAGAATAACCCAAATGTCCACATCAACTGGTAAATGTGTAAACAAACTATGGCATATCCATACAATGGAATACTACTCAGAGAAAAACATAGTTGTTAAATTTAACAGCATAAGTGAATTTCAAAGCAATTCATTAAGTAAAATAAACTAGACACAAAAACAGCACTATTCCACTTATAAGATGTTTAGGAAAAATAAGCAGTGCTTACTGGGGTGCTTACCAAAGGTAATAAAAATGTTCTGTATATGACTATGGTACAATTACAATTATATACACTTGACAAAATTCACCTAAGTTGTTCAGTTTAAGCTGATAATTTTTCTATTACATATATTTCTTTGTGTGTGTGAGGAGGGGTATGTTCACGACACAGTATACTCATATGGAAGTAGGAAGACAACCTGCAGGACTCCATTCTCTACTTCTACCATCTGAGTCCCAAGAGTCAAACTCAGGTCATAGGGATTGGTGGAAAGCACTTTTACTCACTGAGCAATCTCAGTGGCCCATAAACTAGTAAGTTTTTTGAACAAAGTATACCTAACAAAGGGGTTTAAAGTAACCCCCCAATAAAATGTAAGAATAAAAATGTACTCTCTTCTTATTTAGCAAGTGTTCAGCAGACATTGTTCACCAAACACAAGTAACTCTCAATCAAATACTTCCTTATTCATGTACTAGTAACACAAGTAAAAGTAAACACTTTCTATATGTGTGAAACCACTCACATTTTTAAGGCAGTTTTCAATTCTATATCAAAGATTTCTATCTTTCATATTTTTTTAATTTTTATGTGTTTAAAATACTCATTGAGCTATAGAAAACACTTGAAAGAATTATAAAACAAAATTATCAAGGCAGTATTTTTGTTCTAACCAAAAAATTCTACAGAAATAAAGAAGAAAAAAAATGAGCTGCATGGCTATCTGCCATCAATAAAGAATCACATTTAAAATACAATAAGTGGTAGTAATTAGAACACAGGCCACAGCTACAAAAGTACAAGTTTTATAATTGTGTAAAACTACGTACATGAAATGTGCTGTGAACCCAGCTCCTTACTATAGATTGTGGATGCCCTACCTTCCCTGAGGACGGAGGAGAGGGACTAGCACAAGGACTTGGGTAACTGCTGCTGTCTGTAGATTTCACAGATGATTGATCTGATCGGTCATCAGTGCTCCGCTTAGGATGTAAAATTCCTCTGTCTTTGTACTTCTGAGGTGGATGTAAGGCTGGAGATGGAGATTTCATCAGTACTCTTGAGCAAGAAGAAGCACAAGTCAGTTATACATGAGTTTATAATACAAAGGGAATGCTATTTCATAACAAAATCTCAATGACATATAATTTATGGAATACTTTTAAGGGAATTTCATTTTTCTATTTACATTAGTAAGAAAGAAAGAATGAACTAGAATGGGTAGGAGTGTAACTTAGTGATATAAAACTTACCTAGTATGCTTGAAGCCCTGGGTTTGATCCCCAGCACAACAATGAATAAATAAGTAATATGTAAGTAAATACACATATAAGAAACAATAGAGAGGTGGAAGATGGCTCAACTCAGTGAAATGCTTACTGGTTCAAATGTAAAATGCCCCCATATGCTCTTCTGTCTGAATACCGATAACCAATCCTGTTCAGGAAGGTTATGAATACTTGAACAGCTGAGCCTTACTGGAAGAAGTAAACCACTGAAGGCAAGCTCTCGCTACACTTCTTGTTCTTTGAGGAAATATGACCAGCTCACTTCCTGCTCCTACATCCATGCCTGCTATGCCTTTCCTCCCTGTTACCATGTCTTCCCCACCATGATGGACTCTATCCATCATGGAAATGTAAGTCAAAGTAAATCCCTTCTCTCTAAGTTTTCCTTGTCAAGTATTTTATCACTGCAACATAAAAGAAACTAATCTACCATGCAATCACGAGGATCTGATCTCAATACCCAGTACCAATAGAAAAGCTGGTTCTGTAATCTTAGAACTAGGGTGCCAAAGAAAGGCAAATCCCTGGATCTCATTCCCCAGCCAGGCAAATTAGTGAGGTCTAAGTTCATTGAGAGACCTTGTCTCAAAAGTGAAGGTGGAAAGCTACTAAAGAAGACACCTAATATCAATTTCTGACACTGGCACACACATATGTATTTGTGTGTATGCAACACACACATACACACCACACACACACACACACACACACACACACACCCCATATAAGACAACAATAACAAACAACCTCAGACTATAGGATACATTTTAAAAAAGAGGTAAAACCACATTTTGAAAAATCAGAAATAGTATTGCATAAAATAGACTTAAAAATAATAGTATGATGACACGGAAAGAATACTGCACTAGAGAGAGGAGACTGAAATCTATATATTAGAATAACACTAAATGAACATATAACTCTGTGCATGACACTGAACTTTAATTTATTTGTTAAAGTTATCTTAATGAACTCTAAGATTGTTCTAAAATTCTATAAATATCATGAACATATCATTTAAGCTTTTTAATTTTTTAAAAAAATGTACAGTATGTACTCTGTGGTACAATCAGACAGTATATTCTGGTTTCAGTATAAGGTTTCCAATACCATCTAAAAATAATCTTGCTAAAACAAGGCATATACCTTCAAACCTTGAAAGCTAGCCACTAATTTACACAGAATAGGGTAGAAGATTTAATGATGCTAGTTGAAAACAGACAAGTTCAATATGTTGGGCATCTCAAAGTAGCACTGACCTAATTTCTTCTAAAAGGTGAGAGGAAATACTCCATATGGCAATATATTAAAAAACAAAAACAAAAACAAACAAAAAAAAAACCCTTAACATCCTACCTTGTACAGACACAGAATTCAAATAAATCTACAATTTACAGCAAGTGGGAAAAGTTCAATTTTGCTAGAATAGAGAAAAAATATCTTTCTTCACTACTGTTGTCCTCACATCAAACAGGCATCCAGTGCATCACTGAATAGGCAGCATGCTCTTCTGTAGCACTGCTACCTCGTAGTACTGACAGTAGGTAGTGGTATACAAAAACTGCTCCTTAAAGAGCACTGCCAGGGTTTTCTATGCAGTGTGTCTAGGAAAAATGTCTTTTGACATGTATCCACTAAAATGGATCTTTTAGAATTTATTATCTTCCAAAGAGACCTTAAATTTATGAATTCTAGATATATAATATTTTCAGTTTTTTCTTAAAAGAATGGCCTTACTGAATCAAAAGCACTAACTTAAAAATCATTCATATTCTCTTATTACTTATAAGAAATATCTTAAACAAATTCTATTTTATTGTGATCCTTTACATACACTACATTATGTGTGATTATGAAATAGTACAAACAGTTCACTGTCCTGGAGAAAATGTAGCCATCTAAATAAAATGCCAGATTCACCTTTCTGCAGTAGTGGATCCATCAGCAAACTCGGTGTCAGCTGAACTTTTCCTACTATTATTGGATCTCCAAGATGAAGCCAAAGGAAGTTCTTCTGAAGACATGGGTCTTGGCCTCTGGCCAATTCCAGATGGTTGCTGTAAACCTGCAGACTGCTCTTCAGTGCTTAAAACAGCTATAATTGCTCGTATGGTAGCTTCATCAACTTGAGACCAAGGTTTAGATGGAGCTCTCATTCGGCGTAAAAACAAGCTATGCCACTTCTGCCTCAGCTGGAGCAATAAACTGGCAGCCTGTAATCAAAGCATCCTCAGTTCAAATATAAGCAAAATGTGTATCATATATGTAAGAAGGTTCTTTACATTAGTTATGGTCTGTAACTGTATGAAAAACAATACAATTTTCTATTCATTTATTCTGTTGCATAAATGAAATTTTTAGACATCATATTCTAGGCACTAGACACACAGAAGGAAACAAAACAACTAATAAAGGAGATAGTAAACATTGAAGGTTGTATGTGGTTAATATTGAAAAGGCAGCAGTAAGGTAAATAAGGAAAAATGCACTTAGCCTATTCATATCATACTTTAGCATCTACAGAGCAAATGATGACAGCCAGGACGCACATGGATGAATAAGAAGGCTGAATCTAGAGATAGACTTGAAAGACATAAGTGCCGTCATTTCTAAATCTACAGAGAAATAAAGTTAGCAGAAATTATGAAGAGCAAGAATGAAGAAAAGAGCAAGGCACTTAGAAGTAGAAAATATTATTATTATTATTATTATTATTATTATTATTATTATTATTATTTGGCTCATGTTCTGTTGGCCTAGGAAGAACTGTCCTGGAACTATCTCTGTAGACCAGGCTTACCCCAAACTCACAGACATCACCCTGTCTCTGCCTCCCAAGTACTGGGATTAAATGTGCTTGCCAGCACCACCCTACTACAAAATTTAATTAAGGCACAAGTACCTACAACTTAAAGCAAAGCACACAGGTAAAAAGAAATGACTACAAAGGAAAAAGAATAAAAAAGGATTAACTTTATATAAAGCAGAGAATTTGGAGTAGGATTCAAGAGGAAAAAAAATGGAGAGGAGCAATATTAAAAGGGGGAGGCAATACACAATAGTGCCAAGTATTAGAGCAGGTTACCAAAGACAAACTGGCAAATAACACAGAAATGCAGTCTCAGTGAAGTAAAGGACTGATGTGAACGGGAATGAGATTGCAGTATGCTCATGTGATAAATACATCAGTAAATACAGTGATGGTTAAGAGTCAAGCTAGCCAGTGCTGACCACTGACAGCTCGGTTGTACCCCCAAATGGACAGAGAATAACTATAAAAAACAACCAAAAACAAAAACAAAAACAGACCTGGAATGTCAAGAGAATCTTAAATTTGAAAAACAAAAATTTATTTCTCCCAATTCAGTTATGAAAACAAAATAACTCATATCTTTCTCTAAGGAATGGCAAAAATGAGTGCTCAGTGGCACAATCAGTGTGCGGTACTTATATGAAAGAAATGGCAAAAATAAATGGTGCTCTGTACTCAATGCTCAGTAGTTTACATATCCAGAAATACTAAAATATTACTACTATAGCTTTAGATGGTTTTGGTCCCTCTAAAAATTTACATCGATACTTAATTCCCAATGCAACAGTATTGGGAGATGTGATCTTCAGAAAATGACAATGACTAAACATCCTTCCAAAAAGATAATGGAGTCTATGCGTTTTGCCCTTCAGCTTTCCATCAGATATGGACACACAGGGTTTAAGATGTCATCTGGTTAACTCTCATCGGCACCCTGATCTTAGAGTGAGGAATTTCTGGTTTTTAAAAATCACTCAGCCTATGGCACTGTGTTATAGAAGCACAGATAATAGTCATACATAAATGCTAGGCTGTAACTATGTTGTTTTGAGTCCTCTGACAGAAGAAAAGCCCAATGTGGCAGAGAATGCATGAGGACTCTATGAAAACTAAAAAATAAGCCATAGGTATTTTCTAATATTATGAGATCAATATTGAAGATAAAAATTTTAACATGCTATTTTATAATTCATATTAACTAAAAAAAATTATGTCATATGAAAAAGCAACTTACCTCTGGCTCTAATTTGAAATTAAGCCACTCATCAAGTTTCAAAGCAGCCAAATTAGCAGTAGTTCTGTCCTCCATTTCACTGTCACTACTATCATTGGGAATGCCATCCGCTGTTAGAACACACATGAAAAAAAGTAATCACTTTACCTTCTTATAATATGGCAGAGCAGTGGAGCAGATATTCTTATATGCAAAACTCCTTTTCACAGTGTAACAATCCATTTGGTAAATTCATCTAATTAGATTATAAGCTTAATCTAAATACATAAAATATGGTTCAACAAGATGGCTCAGCACTGTACAAGCCTGACATGTTGTCTGATGTCCACAACCCATAGTGGAAGAAAAGAACAGACTTCAGAAATACACCCAATCTTTACAAAAGTTACCAAGAGTGTACTACTAAACCTAATATATAGTACTGTTTAATAAAACAGACTGAACTTCCTGAAAAAAGTTAAAAAAAAAAAAAAAGAGCTGTTGCATTCAGAAAGGAGTACAAGAAGGCAACAACCAAATTTTAAAAACAGGGACAATTATCAAAGAATACTTTAGCAATATAAAGGCAGCAAAGAGTTACAGGTAGGTCCTTCATTAACAGATATTGAATTTACTGGTAAACAAAAATACTAAATGAATGTCCAGTGTAAAAATAATTAATAGTTACATTAAAGAAGATAAAAGAATATGCACAAAGCTTACATAAAGATTCCTAATTTAAAAGGCATCTTTAAGCATTCTAGAAAATGATACACAAGTAGTATTTAATAGGTGATGCAGATAAGGGAGAAGCACTCCCCAAAGTGGAGGGGAAATACATTAAATCAAATCTACCTCATTGACAAAAATAAAACTCTTAAAAATCAAATTACAGAAAATAAAAACTATTCATCACAGCAATGGAAAAATTACAATTCCTCAGCTCTGAAAGTAAATAGTTTAAGATTAATCAATCTGAACATATAGTAATTCAAACAACTCAAAGTGTGATAGAAAAGGCTAATACCTTTAAAGCTATATAGCCACATTCCTAGGTTGGCAAGATTAATACTATGAAAATATCTATACTATTAGAAGCAATTTACAGATTTCAGTGCAATCTCTATCAAACTCGCAAGGACATTCTTCACAGAACTAAAGAAAAATAAACTAAAATTCATATGGAAACACAAGAAACTATGGACACCAAAGCAGCTTTAAGCAAAAAGAGCATAGCTGAAGATCTCAACATTATTCAACCTCACACTACACTATGGAGCCATAGTGATAAAGACAGCATGGTACTCACAAAGAGACTTCTAGCAACTGACCAATGGAATGTAACTGAGATAAACCCAAACAGTTCTGGACATCTAACTTTTGACAAAGGTACAACAATCAAAAACCACTGGAATACAGAAAGCCTCTGCAACAAATCTTGCTTATAAAACTTGGTATCTACTTACAGAATGAAATTAGATATATAGCTCTTACTCTGCACAAAAATCAACTTAAACAAACAAACAAAAAAAAAAACACTTAGAATGTTTAACAAAGAAACAATTCAAACAAAGGGAAAACAATTCAAGGCATTTGCCAATTCCTGGACAGAATCCCCACAGCAAAGGAAAAAAGCCTCAGCAACTGACAAATGTGATTACATAAAATTAAAGCTTCTGCATGGCAAAACAAATTATCAGAATTAAGGGACAGCCTTCAAAAGAGGTTACTTTCTAAAATAAATAAAGAACTGAAAAAATTAAACAAACAAAATATGCCAATCAATATTGGCCAATAATCTGAACAAAGTTCTCAAAAGAGGCAACACAAACAAGCACTAAACAGTTTTAAAAATGTTCAATATCAAGCCATCAGAGAAATGCAAATTAAAACTACATTGAGATTCTACCTCACCCTTGTCAGAATGGCCACCATCAAAAAATAAAGACAATAAATGCTGGCAAGGATGGACAAAAAGAGGAGCCGTTATCGAGAAAGACCACTGTGGAAATCAGTATGGTGCACCTCAAAGGCTAATATAGAATTAGAATATGCCCAGCTATACTAACCACATGCACATACCCAAATGTTCCATGCATTCTTCTGTAGAGATGTGTTTATACTATTCTTTTCACAAGAACTACCAGATTGTAAATATGTTAAAGGAATGAGAATGTTTTTGGAGAAGAGGAAGAAAGTGCTGAAGGTAAATATGTTTTAAGAAGGAAATGGTTGGCTCTGTTAACTATTACTTTGTATGAAAATCTATAGACTGAAAATTATAAGTTGTGTTTGACAATATGACATTTATCAATGGTCTTGTCAAGAACAGTTTCAGTGACATGATTGGCTCAGAGGAGATTTAGTTTCATAGTGAGAGAGTAGAATTAATATGACAGGGACCCAGTATGGTAGTATACCCTAGTAATTCCAGTCCTTGGGTGGCTGAAGTATCAGGATAGTTGTAAGTTCAACGCCAGTCTGGTTAACACACTGTGTTCTAGTCAGGGCTACACAATGAGATACCATTTCAAAAAGCTTCAAGAGAGTTGCTATAGTAGGAGTTTTGGTTCATTGACATCTTTAATTCTTTTTATTCATTTAATAATTTCCTTGGCTTAAACTTTATCAAGTAATTGCTTGATAAAAACATGTAAATGTTATTTATGGTTCTTCCTTATACCCAGGCCATCCAGAGTAAATGGCTCTTTCCTTGCAGTTGCTATCATCTTTAGGTGCTAGTGTTTAGAATGCTATTTAAAACATTAAAGATTTCATTTCTGACATGTCTACTTCCCACTGTCTCTTTTCTGAACTCCAAGAGATACAGATAGCACCAAATGCCTTCTAAAAAGACTTCCCTTAAGGTGTCCTAAACATCTCAGCCTTAAGCATATATAAAAAAAGACTTCTTGACTTTTAACCTACATAGCTTCAAGGTTTAATCTACTCCTGGTTTTTCAATCAAATGTGTGACAGCAGAGGCTGGAGAGACAGTTCTAGGCAGTAGGACCACAATACAAACCTGGTACATGAGCTAGCTTGTTGGAGCCCACTCCCTATGGTAGGATGTCATGCTCAGCCTTAATGCACGGGAGAGGGGCCTGGCCCCAACCTATTGTGCCAGACTAATAGTTGAATCCTCATGGGAGCCCTTACCCATGAGGAGTGGACTGGGGCTGGGCTGGGAGGAGGTGAGGGGGGACTGGAGGAGGTATGGGAGAGAGAACTGTGGTTGGAATGTAAAATGAAATTAAAAAATAAAAAAAAATAGAAAAAAATGAATGTCTGATGCACAATGACAGAGTTAGGATGCCAACACATATATAACATGCCAGGTGTTCTGGCCACACACAAGAGAATCACAGGGCCTTGGTGGCTTCCAGCCTAGCTGAGAAAGCACAAGCCTCAGGCTCAGGGAGAGAGCCTGCCTCAAAGTACTAGGCAGAGTGAACACCAATGCCATTTTCTGACAGTACCCCAACACTTGCAAATTTATTAAATTCTTTTGTTTTTTTGTTTGTTTGTTTGTTTTTGTTTTTGTTTTGTTTTTTTGAGACAGGGTTTCTCTGTGTAGCTTTGGAGCTTATCCTGGCACTCGCACTGGAGACCAGGCTGGCCTCGAACTTACAGAGATCCTCCTGTCTTTGCCTCCCGAGTGCTGGGATTAAAGGCATGCACCACCAATGCCAGGCAAACATTTATTACATTCTTTTAGACCACCAAAACACAAAATAAATAAAAATGGGCATCATGATTCAGCCACCTTCTGAAACCAGAAACCTGGGAAAATACAAAAAATAGTATGGGAGGATTCGAGGGAGAGGAAACTGGGATTGATATGTAAAATAAGACTGTTTCTAATTTAAATAAAATATATATACATATATAAATAATTAAAATATATGTAGATAAAACATATTAAAAAGTATTTATATAAAGATGAGAATATCAGTTATTTGTAAACATTATCTTTATTTATATGGTCACTTACACTTAAGTAGAAAACAAGCATCTTCCCATCAGTAAGATTAATAAAAATAAAACAACAATGTGTTAACTGAAAGTCAATTTCAACAAAAGTGGTATATCTTACTACAGTATTTCCTACTTGTCTCACTGTATCAACTGTACCTTAGTACTCCCTAACTAACTCATTATACCAAATACATCTTTGCATTTCCTAATTGTCTCAATATATCAAATATAACTCAGTATTTTCTGTCTCGTGTTACAAACGGCACAAGCTTTTTATTTTTATGTTATTAGTTTATTTCAAATAGATTTTTACTTCTTTATACTACACTTACCTCTAAAGGATGAAGGTTCCTGGAGAGCATTACTTGCCAGCCTAGCTGGTCCACAGAACACCACAACAGTAACAGGTGTCACTGCTGAACAACACCTGATATTAGCAATAACATGGCCTCTGGTCATTTCATCATAAATAAGCCAATCTGTGGGCAATGCCTGAATTGCTGCAGCCTGACCATTGGCTGGAGGAATCTATTAAGACAGTTAAAAAAAAAGTGTTAATTAATTTATTGGGAATACTTTTAAGTTCTTTAGTGAAACAGATGATGTACATTGATATTCAAAAATTAAAGCAAGTCATTGCTCTTCTGGTTTATAAGATTTCTTCAGTACTTTTCCAATGTTACCTCTGCGATTTCTAGAATTTAGTATTTCATTACACATATTTTGCAAATTAATTTGCTAAAGGAGAGATAGTTGGAATATTTTTTTATCTTCAACTACCTAAATTTGATTCACCACAAGGTCTAAGAGCATTAAAAATGTTTTACCTTTTTATACTGAGGCTGACTGAGAACTGAAGTGGGATGAAATCGTACTTTTTTTTCCTTTGGCCCTGTCAATACTACATTCTCTCTGTCCACATGGACTAAATTAGGATACATGCCTGCTACCAATGCAGCTTTAACAACGGCCCAGTTCTCGGAGTTTGTGTTAACATCTCGAATGTCACCACCACCTCGTGCTCTAACAAAACCTGGATAGACAAAAAGGGCACACCAATCTTCTCTGTTATGCAAAAAGCACTTTAGCATTTGTATATGTTTGACAACAAAAACTGTAACCTCCTATAAATTTAACAATATCCAACTCCATGATTAATACAATCCATTCTAGCAAGTGTGAAGTATAAAACTAATAGGGCAAAGTTTAGATCTGTTCAGGCTAGATTAAGTACAGTATTTACTGGCACAAGATCTCATTATGTAATTCCAACTAGCCCTGAATGGATTCTCCTGTTTCAACCTCCTGAACATTTGGAATGTCAGTGGATAGCTACTATGCCTGGCCTTATATGAACATTCTTTAGTAAGTTCATTCATCAGTGTGTTGGTTAGCTTTTTCTCAACCTGACAAAAGCTAGAGTCATCTAAGAGGAGGGGAACCTCAATTGAGAACATGCCCCCATCAGACTGGCCTTTAGGCAAGTTTGTGTGGCATTTTCTTGATTGCAGACTGAACCACAAGAGGCCAGCCCACTGTAGGCAGTGCCATCCCTGGCAGGTAATCCTGGATGGTATAAGAAGAAAGGCTAAGCAAGCAATGAAGAGCAAGTCAGTCAGCAACATTCTTCCACAGCTTCTGTTTAGTTCCTACCTGACTTCCTTTGGTGATTGACAACTGTAAACTGAAATAAGCCCTTTCCTCCCCATGTTGCTTTTGATCATGGGCTTTATCACAGCAAAAGAAACCAAACTAAGACAGCTACTATTAGAAACATTCTCCAAGTTCACAACTTGAAAACAAAATCATTATTTTTACTTGTATGCTTTCATTTTCTCAGACATCAACTTTAGAAGTACAGTTAAGTATAAATGCTATATGCTTAAGTTTCAAAAATTCTTCATATTTCCCCATATTTAAAACAAATTTAAATTCTCAATTCTCTGGTTTCCTTGAATACTTCAGCTAACCTGTAAATCCAGATTCTGATACTATTGACTATCACTTCAGTTAACGATGTTATTAAGAAAAAACAAAAAACAAAACCAACAACAAAAAACCTTCAAAATAATAGAAAACAGTAACATTAGAGTCTTCTCAAAAAAGAATGCAGTACCTTCAAGTTATTATCAATCATTTTAGTGTTCAACAACTATACACACTGTTGGCCATATCAATCTACTTAAATTCTTATAATTGCTGTTCTATAGAGTTAAATAATTTCTGACTGGTAGAGGCAAAAGTAAAAATAACATCTTATTAAATCTAAACTGATCTTTAACAAAAATATAAATTGCTCACTACCAACAGTTATCAAAAGGGTTTAGAGACTATAGTTTACTTCTACAACCTGTGTAATGTTTTATTTCATCAATAAGCAAAAATCCACATAATAGAGAAGGATACACATCAGCTCAAGAATACAGACACATAATATGATATAAAAACCACAGAAACTGGCATCACTTTAAATCTAGAAACATGAAGGATAAGCAGGTGTTCTACATAGGAAACTTTACCTGATGCTCTAAGCTGACCAAGCAACTGTGTTCTCATGCCTATAATGATTTCCATCGTGGCTTGTGAGAGAAAATTCTTTTCACAAAAGGCTCTCTCCCAGCCATCACTTCGTGCTTTCTGCCATGCCTACAAAAACAGGATATGTACAAGACGTATTTACTAATTACACCTCAGTGATGAAACAAAGTAATGCCACTATGATCAATCACTAAAGGTAAAGTATTATTCTGATAATTTACAAAAATGTCTAAGATCTTATCATCAAATTAAACTTGTCATTTAGTTTATACAAACTGCTATCATGTCAAATGAGTTTACAAAATTCCAATGAGAACTGAATATCAAGTGACTCAAATGACCAATTCTCTAAGAATTATACTTATAGATACAGTTTTTGGCTGGTATAGATAGCTAGTTTTATTACACATAAGTGAGAGGCTTTCCAGTTACATTTTCCATTAAAATGCTTTCATATCTAGGAATTCTGAAACTCCTAATAATAGTAATAACAATAATAATAACAACCTCTGTGTTACTCTCTCAACTGACTGGAAATAGAAAGTGGGATTTTGAGGCCTAGAGAGATGGCTCAGTTGTTGAGAGTATTGGCTGATTTTCCAGAGGTCCTGAGTTCAATTTCCCAGCAACCACTGGTGGCTCAGAATCATCTCTAGTGGGATCTGGTGCCCTCTTCTGGCATAAAGTCATACATGCAGATAGAGCACCCACATACATGAAATAAAAAAATCTATTTTTTTTCAAGTGGGATTTCTAAAAACCATACATATATACAATATAAAAATCTGGCCTTTGAAAATACGCTATCCTGGCTTGGAAAATTAAAAGAAAGCTGCATCTTATCTCATCAGCTTTCAAAAGAGCTGGAAAGAACACAATGCAAGGAGTCTCCTCCAGATTTATGACTATTACTTAATATATAATAGAGTATAAGATAGTATAATATATACTACCTAATATCTGAACTGAACAATCCATCATTCAACAATAATCATAAAGGAACTTTATTTATATTACATATGTTGGAAAAATATTGAATACCTGAATGGTTGTTTTCCACAAAGAAATGCAAGACTACAGATAGAGGCATAGCCTCTAGTCAGAAATTTGAAGAATTAAAAACAATATTTTTAAGAAATAGTATATCCTTTCCTACATATCTAAATTTCTAAATTACATTGCATTTTTCTACTCAGAGGCTACTTCAGTCTTAACATTTTCTTTACTCAATATCTCACTATTTTTAAAAGTTTTAAATTACCTTCTTTTGCTTTATAAAATTAAATTATTGGCATAGTGTCTTGAGTACAAATGGAAAAGAAACACTGTAAAAAAGAATTTTACAAAAACTAAATTGAAGATAATATTCTTCCAATCTTTGTGCTATGTCCTCCCTCTACATAGCAGAGACATTCTAAATAATTTAAGAGTATTTCTCGGCCAATTCATTAATATGCATATATACAGCCTAATTAGGAGTAAATAGTGGTGACAAAATAGAGACAAATTGGTCATGTTAAACTACAAAGAGCAATCAGATATTTTTTTATTATTTTTCTTTTTTTGATATTTATACTATAGTTACATCATTTCTTTTGTCCCCTTCTCCCCCTCAAACTCTCCCATACTACTCTTCTTGCTCTCTTTCAAATTCATGTCCTCTTTCTTCATTAACTGTTATATATTCTTAAATATTACCTGCTCTGTCTGTCTGTATAATGTTACTTATATGCATGTTTTCAGGGCTAACCATTTGGTACTGGAATCAACTAGTGTTCCCTGGGGAAGAATATTTCTCCCACCTCAGTATTCCTTAGTTCTTTATGTAGGATTGTGGCTCATGGTCTTTTCTCTATCCTCTTCTGCTCTATTGATAAAATGTGACTTCTGAGACTAGAGAGACAGCTCAGTAGTTAAGAGCATTTGTTGCTCTTGTAGAGGCCCCAGGTTCAGTTCTAAGCACTGACATGGTGGTTCATAATACTCCATAACTCTAGTTCCAGGGAATTAACCCTTCTTCTGATGATCACAGATACCAGGTACACACATGACACACATATATACATGCAGGAAAAACACATAAAAATAAGTAAATCTTAAATATAAACAAATAAAATGTGGCTTCCTAAGTAAAACAAAATTAACAGAATGTTATTTAGTCTTTTTATTAATTTTTACTTGCCTCAGAATGTATTTAACATAACATGTTTAGCAATAAACAAAAGTAATGGTACCTGGAATGCTCTGAGAAGTGCCATGTGGTCACTGAAAGTCCCTGCAGTGAAACGTTTCCTACAAAGCATAGCTGCACGTTTTTGAGAGGCCTGGGTAGGCAGTACAAAAGGGTCTCGATAAGCTAGAGTGCAGGCAATTGTAAGGATGGGGTCCAGACATTTTAAAACAACAGCACACAGGACCATTTTACCAAGATGAGGTTCTACTGGCAAATCAGCCAAATGATACCCAAGCTCAGTCAGATCTTCCCAAGCATCCATTGCATCTATTGTCTAAGTAAAAGGAGAAAAAAAGTTGACATAACCCAAAATGATACTTAAATTAAAAACTCATTAAGTATAAAATAACACATAATTCTTTTGCTGTCACATTGCATAAAATACATTTTGTATTAAATGTATACATATATATAAGAACTATATCTACTATTATAAATTATAGGAGTGCTATTTAAAGTACTCTTCAATTAACATTTTAAAAAGAATAAAATTACTTAATATCTATTCTCACTTAGCTTTAATTCCCCATTGAAGAAACAAGTAAAATAATTAAAATACCAACCTTAAGCATCTGAACAGCATTTCTTACAATTAAAGCTGGAGGTGGTTCAGGAGCTTTCATAAGGAAATCAGCAATGGTACAATTAACTGGGGCTAACAGCTTAGTATGTAAGCAAAGCTCCTGTAAACCACAAGAGCAAAAGATTTAGAAAAAGTAAAAATCTAGTACTGACTCGTATTTTAAAGAAACCATGAGAATGGTTTCTTTAAAACCATTTTTTAATGGCCAGCCTAGCAAAGTCTCAGAGTCAACGGAATAGGAGGAACATCTTCAATGAAACACATGCTTATAACACCCTCAATCAACTTATATCAAAATGATCACTGCCCCCTATAGCGATATTTTCTCACATAGTTTTCACCCATAAAACTTAAGAATCACTACCCATATAGCAAGTCATTTTCCTCCTATTATGCTCACTTCATTCTATCATCTTTTTCCATTCAACAAACAGACAGGCACTATGCCACAAGTCAGAGAAAGAAAAGACAGTGCCTGTTCTTTTGGAGTTTACAGGAGGGAAAAACAGACCTTACAAAATTTAGCAAGTTAATTATATCTGTGCTAAGTGCTATGAAGGATACTGGGTGCCAAGGAGGGTAGGGGTGGGCATAAATTATAATCAAGTTCCAGCAAGAACAGGAAAGTCAAAGACAGTTTCCTTTCTAGGAACACCTACACTAAGATGTAAGGAGTAGCAGTAGAAATTTACCATAGAAGAAATACAGACAAGGAATTTGGAAATGGAATAGCACATTAAAGCAAAAGATATACACAAAAGAAATAAATATAACTTGAAAAACCCCACTAAATCTTTTTATGAGAAGAAACATGAGGATGGGGGGATTGGAACACCTGAAGAGTTTATTTAGTAATTGAGGTTCTAAGAATTTTTAATTATATATAAAAGGAACAAAAAATCTTGCAAAGACACTGGGAATAGGGAATCATCATAGGGATATGGATGTCAAAAACATGATTCTGTATTGTTTGAATGATAGAAGCAAGCATCCAGACTGAGACTAAAGAATCAAAGGCGGGTGGGCAGGCGGGTAGGGGGTAGGGGGAATGCTGATGCACGACACACAAACATGCATATAAAATTAAAATAAAGTAAGTAAATCTTTTAAAATACAGGATCAAACTGATTTTCTTCTAGTAGTTTTGCACGAGGTCAGAAAACTCAAAGAAAAATAATAAAAGTTTGGAAATCTCAGTGAATGCAGTTTCAAAATTACAAAGGTAGAGGTTCAGAATCCTACACTATGATGTTGGCATTACCTTTTGCAACTTAAATAATTTGCAACTTAAATAATTCCTATCCAGAATTTACAAAATCCATACTATGTATTTGAGACAAAATGTAACAATTAAACACACACACATGCACAGCTCCATAATTTAAATGTATTCCAGTAACTTCAATTACTGTAGGTTCGGTAATATTTGTATTAAGAAAAATCTTTTTTATGGATACGTCCTCCTTCATACAATTTAACTTAAGATTCAAGCTAATTCAAGCCCAGTCTGTAGAAGCTGAAATGGCAGCTGTCCCCTCACTCACAGACAAAGCCTTAGAGCTGTAGGTCTACCTGCAATGGCATTCTCAAGAGCTCTGGCGTCTGAAATTCCAGCATGTTCTGAAATCGGAGTCTACTAAACAGACGGAAACAAATTCCAGGTCTACATCGTCCAGCTCTTAAAAATAAAACACAAAATTCACACTCAGATAAGGAAAATAATAATGGAACTATAAACTAATGTGATTTAGGAGAGCAAAAAACTAATCAAGATCAAGACATCTGAGTTCTAATCCTTATTTATCCTCTATGAATACTTTTAGAAGACGTTTTGTGCTCTAGGACTCAATGTTATCATTTTACTGAACTAGATTAAAACACAATACCTTCTACAGTTATAGCTATGCCACATCGCACATGCACTGGTCAGAGTACATGGCTTTCTGGGACCAAATTCAGGGTTGTGAGCCTTTCTGTCAGCCCAGCATTCTTAATTCTGCTTAATTCCTTACCCCTCACCCCCATACAGATTTAAAATGCCCAGTATTATTTGTGCACTATACTTTGAATATCCATCTCTCTGTTTTCATCCTGCTGCAACAATTCTGCCCATTGTCTCTCTCTTATGGAAGTGAAAGTATTAACAAACCCTTTATCCGAAGTGCTGAAAGAATACTATAACCATAACACCACCTTTTTTAGCGAGTATGAGGGTTGGAAAAATGGCTCAGCAGTTAAAAATGAATACTGCTTGTATAGAGGACACAAGTTCTCCCATATAACTCCAGCTCCAGGAGGTCAGCCTTTCTGGCTTCCACAGTAACCTACACACAGGTACTCACACACTTCTTTAAAAAAGAGAGAAAAATGAAATGGTCCCTAAGGACTTGTTCCAAACTTTCAACCTAGTTTTCACCATCTTCTTCCAAACCAAACTATATAAACAACCTTCCTGCTCATTTTGTCCCACAGGCCTATCTGACTATTCACTGGTTCCCCTCTTTCCTTTCTTTCTTTCTTTCTTTTTCTTTTTCTTTTTCTTTTTTTGTTTTGTTTTTGTTTTTTGAGACAGGGTTTCTTTGTGTAGCTTTGGAGCCTATCCTGGCACTTGCTCTGGAGACCAGGCTGGCCTCGAACTCACAGAGATCCGCCTGCCTCTGCCTCCTGTCTTTATTTCTTTTTCTTTCTTTCTTTCTTTGACATTTTTTTATTTAGAAACAATCATTTTACATATTAATCGCCCATTTCCTCTCCCTCTCACCCTCCCATGCTCCCTACCAATCCCCCCAAACAACCCCCCACCAACTCACCAAGGATAGTGAGGCCTTCTATGGGGGAATCATTAAAGTCTGTCACATCATTTGGGGGAGAGCCTAGGCCCTCCTCTGTATCTTGGCTGAAATAGTATCCTTCTCCCTCTTTCCTTTCTTAAATTCACCCACTCCTCTAAAACCATAACCCAATTACAGCAAATAATACTACTCATACTTCAACATGGATTATACCATTTATTTCATCTTAAAATTAACCTACTCTACTTCAGTCCTTACTATTAACCCAATACATCACAACAAAGGTTGCCAACTGATATGTATGGAAAATATAACAACGAGATTTACTCTGATTTATGACCTAGAATAACAGAGAGTTAATATTATAAATCAGCTCAATGTATCAAGAACATTTTGTTATAAAGAGAACAGCCTGACATAATTGTAACAATGTCTGACTATATGGAGTTACACAGCACAGAAATCCTGTCCTTAAAGCCTTTCATATACAAGGTATCTTTTCTGTTGGTACTTTTGAGTCAGGATACAAGACATAGCTCAGTTTGTCCTTGAGGTAGCAATACTTTTGTCTATATCTCCCAGCTGCTGCCATTGCAAAAGAGGGCATGTAACTGTGCCTGAACATTTCACTATTGATGGACTCTATCCAGTTCCCAGATCTTTAATTATAATGTTGAAAGAACAATGTTAAAAACATCTTCACATACATGTAATAAGTAAAATTAAAATATATTGTAAGGCATGGATTACACAGTAAAACAGAGACTTAGAAACATTTCTAATTTAGCCTCTGAAAAACTCATACCAATATACATTCTCATTAGCAAAATACCAGAGCCAATATTTTTGCCTCTATGTTCTAAATTCTATAAAACAAGTTCATTAGTCTCAGAGTGATAAGAAAATAACAGTACTTCCTTAACTTGCATTTATTTTGGTATATATGAGGTAAAAATGTTTTTGAGACTATTCTTTGCAATATTATAAAAGATAAAAGAGCTGGGAACTGGGTAGTCTCCATCAATAGTGAAATGTTCAGGCACAGTTACATGTCCACTCTTGTAATGACAGCAGCTGGGAAATACAGACAAAAGGATCTAGCTCAAGGACAATATGTGAAGCAATGCATTAGCAGGACATATACAGTATTTGGATAAACTATTTTGACCTTTACTAAAAGCATTTTGATTATAAGGATTTTATTTGTATACTAAAGAAATTATTCCTTTGTCCTATATTTTAAATGTTCATAATTTTTGCTTCCTTTAAATGTCTTTTATCTTAGCATGAATTATAATATAGTTTCAATTTGTTGTTTTAAATTTTATTAATTCCTTGAGAGTTTCATTTAATGTGTTTTGACTACACACACACACAAATCCATCCCTACTTCCTGTCTATCCAACCTTGTTTAAAATAATAATAATAACTTCAAGACCAATTTGTGCTGTCCAAATAGTCTCAGATGTCTCATCTTCCACCAACACATGGTCAACTTAGCAGAAGCTACACTCTTCAAGAAAACTGTCTCTACCTCTCCCAGAAGCTTAACAACTGTCAATAGTTCCACAGATACAGGCAAGAATATGTGCATAAATCTCCACCTCTCCCTCCATGCTGGGATTTGGTCTCACATGGGCTTGAAAAACAGCCTAAATTTAACTTTTGAAAAAGTACCCCAAGAAAGGACAGTGAGATTGATGGGGGAGGTCCTTCTGTGTATATGTTTGTCTTATTGGTTGATAAATAAAGTACTATTGGCCAATAGGAAAGCAAGTTAGGAGGATTCTGAGAAATGTAGGAAAGGGACACAGCTACCATGTGATCCCAGGAAGAGAGGACACATTCCTCCGGCGTCCATCATAAGCCTTATAAAATATAAAGATTAGTAGTTATGGTTGATAATTAAGACTGAGTTAGCATATAAGGAATCCTAGTCATTGGCCAGCAGCATTGTACCTAATATAAGTCTCTGTGTATTATTTGGGGCCCTAAAGCAGCGGGCAGAACTTGGGTGGCTGGCAGAAAGATTTATTGTTACAGTGAGATGGTACAAAGGTTAAAAGCACTTGTCACCAGGCCCAAACAAAACCTTAGTTCTATTCTCAGGAAACACATGGTAGAAGGGGAAAATCAATTCTTGAAAGGTATCCTCTGAATGCCACATGTGCACAGACAGACAGACAGACAGACACACACACACACACACACACACACACACACACACAATAAATAAATAAATAAGTATAATTTAAATCTTTTTAGTTAATTAATTTTAAAGCACCAAAACATTTACTTGGCAAAGACAATATAAAATTAAGACCAATATGAAACTAACATATAAAATGAATATACTAGAAATATATAATACATATAATATTACTATCACACAGGCAATTAAATGAATATAGATTATGTATGTAATTATAACATAAAATGTACATTAATTACCTGCCTTTCCGCTGTATGGCACTAGCTTTGGAAATCCATACCATTTTTAACATTGTAACAAAATTCAGTGCATCAAAGGATTTCTGTAATATGTAAATCATTTTTATGTGAAAACATGATTGGTACTAGAGAGGAAATAGATATTATCAATATATTTCACATACCAAGCTAAACGTAAATCTCCCTCTTGATTAATTAAAAAAACTGATTCTTTTTTGTTTGTTTGTTCTTACATATATATTTTTTATTTTCTTGTTTTTAAATCCTAACCAAAGCTTCCCATCCCTCCCCTCTTCCCAATCTCCTCACATCTTTCCCCACCCCATCCACCCCTCCTCCACTGAAGAAACTGATTCTTAAAAACTCAGATTTGTTGGTTATAAATGCTGTCCTTTGTGGAGCAGTCTGCAGTTCTCTCCTACTGATTTAATAACAACTGATTGTCACAAAACACTAAGACTTAATCATGGCATGAATATGGCTGCCTTGACATGACCAGAAAAAGGATGACACCAATGGACATCCTAGCATGGAGAGGCAAAGTTTGCAGGGTTTCAGCCCTAGACAAAGAACTATAGGCAACTGGGGAATGCAGAGAGCAGGAGAAATGGTCTTTCTTGAGCAAAACACACCAGTTAGTTATCCTATATCAAGTGATCAGTCCTGAGATCACATGGGTACAGGTTACATTATATATACACACTGAGCAGGCTGGATTTATATATGTAGGAACAGAAGACATGGATTTTTAAATAGCAATAGAGAAACAAAGGATCAAAAGGAGAAAAGAAAGGGAATGATGCTATTACCCTGTCAAAAAATAAAAATTATTATAAAAAACAAAACACAGTACAGAATACAAAAATAGGATTCTCTGGTAATTATTTTCTGTCACATTCACATCATTCTAAGAGGTAGGAATAACTAGAAAAAAACATTTGCCATAATATTTCTCAAGGAGTAAAGATTTGGAAGAATGAGAGTAATAATTACCAAACTAAAGCCCTCAAAGTAAAGTATTTTTAGCCCTTGCTACTTAACATGCTGCTGAGTTACCAAGAAAATAACCTTTCTTGAATGTCTCAAACAAAAATATAATCATTACTAACACCAGACTTCCTTAAATGGCCTAGTAGAAATCTGTTGTAGAAGAAATGGTTTTAAATACATTTCTAAGTAGAAAATATACTTCAAACATTCAGTGCCCTTGCTTTGTCTTGCATAAAATTAATTACATAGAGCACTTATAAATGTATCCTCTAATAGGTTTAGTCAAGAAATTTTAGAAAGTATGCTGCTTAGCTTATAATATTTGTTTTATTTGTTAGTTTTGTATGTATGATAACTTTTGATACTGTGCTTAAGTCATGATTTGATAACACTTGAAAGAATTCATTTCCAAAATACTCAAAACCTACTCCCTTCAGCTTTAAATAATTTAAGAGCAATAAATCTGTACATTTTGCTTTTTCCTTTTTGAGACAGGTTCTAGCTATGTAACCCAAGATAGCCTTGAAGTTTAGATCCTCCTGCCTCAGTGTCCCCAGTACAGAGAGGGCAGGTATATAGCACATCTAGAAAAGCTTGATATTTAAAGGTTCATCCCTTACATTTAGTAACACTATTAGAGCAGAAACAGTTTATTCTTCTTTTATGATGAATTTGATCAAAACCTACAATAAATTTTATTCTCTGTAATATAATCTTAAAAGTAGATTGAAAACATGAATTTTCACACTAAAAACAATTACTTATATCCATTTTATCATTTCTTGCTTGCGAAAACAATTACCTTTATCATTTGATCTACCAAAAGTTAATGGCACTGGGAATTACTATCATGTTGACAAATGTTATCACTTATTTATCAGGGAAGAAAATTTTTTGCAAAGGGCCCAGTATAAATAGTTTATGCTTTGAGATCTCTGTTACAATTTATGAAAGGCTACAGCTGTATGAAAGCATCAACAGACAGTAGATAAAAGAGTAAGAAAATACTCTTTTTTGCACAAAGCCAGGTGGTGATTTGCATTGCTGGCTAAAAGTGGTGATGTTCAACCCAATTTATGTTGCTGTTGGTTTTGTATGCATGTGTCTGTGAATGTGTAAACGGAAGCCCAAGGTCCACAACATACATTTTTCTCAACTTTTAGGATTTTGTTTTCCTTTGTTAATCAAGGTTAACAATCTAAATGCCTAATAAATACTATATGTGGGGCATTAGGTTCTATCACTGAACACAAGTGATACAACCCATCCATACATATAAGAGGAAAAATACAATGTATAATCAAATTGCCACAATGTGACAAGTTTTTATTGTGCATTATTTAAACTCTCTACTTTTTTACTACTAGTTAGTAAATACAAGGGAATCTTCTTGTCTAATTTGTTAGAACACCAAAATATATTCCATACTAAATATAAGGTAGAATAGTTTAGTACTAAACAACATTTATTGTGCTAAATTCACCTATAAAGAAATTTGCAACTAAAATGAAGTCTTTTATTATAGTAGCTGTTGGAATGGAACACAATCTTCTTCATCTGATACAAATATAACTTATTCACACATACCTCTTTCACTTTACCAGAATCAATAACAAAGACAACATCATTGACAGTGATGCTTGTTTCAGCAATATTGGTGGAAAGAATCTGCAATGGAATGTTATTTTATGATTAATATGAAAATAGATCAATGAATAACAAAAATAGAACATAAAAGATCTTTATGATGCTTACTATTTTTCGAACACCTGCAGGAGGATTTTTTAATACCTTCTTTTGATCAGATGTCTGCATATTTGAATGAAGCATAAAGACTTGATATCTGTTTATAATTGAAAAAAGAAAATGAACTATAGAACCTGTCTGTTAGCTTAAGCAGCAAGTACAAAGCTTTATAGTTTACCTGTGTGTATTGTCAGCAAACCGCTTGTCATCAAACAGGATACGATCCCTCAAACCAACAATTTCATCATACCCAGGTAGAAAAATTAATATTGCACCTTGGAGAAAATATTTTCAGTATTTAATCTTGTGAAGTCAGACACAATCAACAAAACTAATTACAATAATATGGTGTGATTTCACACATTGGTACATGATTATAAAACAACTACTACTCACACATTACTATCAATTGAATTACAGAAAACTCTGACAACTAAATACTAATTTTTCAACAAAGTTTACTCCAATTCCTTCAGACAGTACTTACCAGCATCACAGCTATGGCAGATATTATATAGAAGATGCATGATCAAATCCAAGTCTACTTTTTCATCATCAAAACTATGATGGTAAGCTTTCAGCAGCTCTCTGTCTTCTGCACTGAGGTCATTTCCGTTTGTTTGAACCAAAGAACTTTCATCTAGATTTCCAAATTCTAATGAAGCACTAAGAAAAATACCAAATCAATTTTTATTAAGAAGAGAAACACTTAAAGACTAAGATTTCCCATTATTTCCTCTGAATTTCCAATATGCCCTAAGGAAAGTGTCCCTTAATGTACAGTTAATTTCTGTGTTGGTTGCAAGCATCTTTTTAAAGCTAAAATTGAAAAGTGATAAATTTCATGAGAAAAATCACAATCTGAAGACACTTTATCAAAAAATTCACTAATAACTTACAAATACATCAAAATATTTAGCATCATCTGATAAGGAACAAGATCGAACCTGGGATAGGTTATTAACTGGTAATTTATTAAGAAGATACACTCACACAAGGAATCAGTAACCAGATTTGGCACTCCAAGAAGTCCCGTCCCAGATGCTTCCAAGACCTGGCCTGAACCCCAAGAGACAGCATGTGCCTCCTGTCCTCTGTCTTTATCCTATCCTCTATGTACCTGTGACCATGCCCAAATGGACGTGGTAAATGGAACAGGTATCCAGAGTCTCTCCCTACAATCATCTGTCACTAAGGAAATATATTACAAAACTACAATGGTACTATTCCACAACCAAAAGGAAGGCTATGTCAAAAGGACAGTTAAGTGATGGGGATGGTGAAGAAATATCAGAACATTCCTAGAGTAAATATAGACTAGCACAGCAATTTTGGGACACTGTGGCAGTTCTCTAAAGGATAAACAGTGTTTACTACATCCCTTAGCAATCCTACTATTAGGTCTAAATGGAAGAGAAATGGAAATGGATGGATGAGTAGATAGATAAACAGATAAATAGGTAGGTAGATAGATAGCTGCATTAACTGTCAATTTAGAGATCTGTGTTCATATTCATAATAGCCAAGAGTGAAAATAACCCAAATATTGATAAAATGGCAAATGCATAAACTATGCCATATCAAGAGAAGGGAGTACTGGTTAGAAATAAAACAGATAAACTTAGAAATAAGTAAAAGAAAAAAAATAAAGCTACAAAAGGCTATCTATCATATGGCACTATTACATAAAATGCCCAGAACAAAGCTACAGAAAGAGGAAATAAATTAATAGCTAGCCTAAGAACTTGGAGAGTTAAATGAAAAAGAAAGTAAATGCTGATGGGCACCATTTTTTGTATGAGACAAAAATGTCCTAATACTGTAATGACACTATGAACATTAAAATAATGTACTGAATGCGAATCAAATTGTATATGCAATATTTCAACAAAACTTTATTTTACAAAAGTATCATTTATATTTTTCTTAATAGATTATTTATATTGTCAGTTCATGTCATCCTTGTAGATCTCTGGAAATCTCCCTAGTGCCAGATCTCTCTACAGACCTATCTGACAATCTAGGCAATGGTGGAGAGGATAACCTAAATTCCCTTCCCCTATAATGAGACTGATGACTACTTTTTATGCCATCCTAGAGTCCTCATCCAGTGGCTGATGGAAGCAGAGGCAAACATCCACAGATATACACTGAACTGAACTCTGGAACCTAGTTGCAGAGAGGGAGGAATGAAGATAAAAGGGGTCAGTACCAGGCTGGTGAAACCCACAGAATCAGCTGGCCTGAACAAGGGGGAGCAC